TATGAACCAGACCAGCTGTATATACATAGTAAATAAAAAGACTTAGAAGCATCGATTTATTCCGTCTAAGTATTTATGTACGATCTTAATCTTTGTGAAGGTTCTGCCTACTCAGTAGGGTAGGAAGGCTCCATGGCTAGGCCACACATGCCCCTCTTGTCCGAAATATCCTTCTCCATTCTCAGGTAACCATTCTCGCCCCAAGTGGTGCCCCATGAGTTCTTCATCAGCCAGTACTTCGTGCTATCACTGGTCTGTCCATAACCAATGGCTGCAATCCCATGGTCCAAGTCAGTACCGCATGAGCCGGTCATCACACCACCAGAGTAGAACTGGAATGTCATGTCTCCACCGTCCACTGCCACCGACACGGGCTGGTTCGCCACAGCCTTCATCAGGGCAGCCTCATCGTTTGCCGGCACATCCTCATAGCCCTTGATGGTTGCAGCACTATTTGATCCACTCTTGCACTTGCCATCTGCAGCTGTGTAAGGATAGCTAGACTCCGTGGTTAGGCCGCCATTCTTGATGATAAACTTGAAAGCATCGTCCATCAAACCACCCTCACAACCTTGATCCTCACCATGGACATCGCAATCCACCAACTCTTGCTCCGAGAAGGAGGTGAGCTTGCCGGTGCTGATTTTCACGATGCCTTCTGTGGCAGCTACGGCTGAGAACGCCCAGCAGCAGCCTGCAATTGATTGTTATGTTTCAAGGTATGTCATAACAGATAACACTCTAATTTAGGAGTACTTCAGAATAGTACGTGTTGCCACAAGTCTTCCTTCTAAATGTACTTACCACATTGGCCTTGATCCTTGATGGGAGTGACGGCACCCTTGGTCCTCCAGTCGATGGTCGCCGGAAGCGCATCGACGCTAACATTCTCATACCTAAATCCGGTAGGGATCTTCACAGGGCTGGGTTTGAAGCCCTTGTTGGTCTTGGTAGCCCTGAACTCGTCGTTGGTAAGGTCGGCGAACTGGTTGACGCCGAGCCAGAACTTGCGGTTCTCACCAGCGTTAAACGACTCGATGAACTTAACATTAGCCTTGAACACCTCAAACCGCTGAGCCTTCTCGTTGGCGTCTTTGTAGACGCGGTTGTACTGCGCCATCCACTGCTCATGCCTCGCCACCATGGCTGAGTCGTCATTGAGGTCGCGAGCAGCGAGGGCTGCACCGCAGAAGAAGGCCAAGCCGAGGATTGCCAAGATCGATGCCTTGAGGGTGGCCATGGTCGATCACTCGATCGATCAGGCCTGTGAATTGGTTGCTGATGCTGGCCTGCTGCTTCTGTGCACTATGCCTATTGATTTGGTGATTGGAGCTGGGTGGTATGGGTATGTATATATAGCTACAGACATGTATTATTCTTGTAAGTTGTAAGTATGAATCGATACGGTACGGTGCTTCTACGCTGTATTGTGTGGAAAGGGACAGGTACGTGGCCGTGAAGTATTGCCAGATGGTATATATTATTTTACTTGTGCTCCAGACGTGCATTTGCCGCTCTGCTATGGATTGCTGTCTTAAAGCATTATAAATAAAGATTATAAGCGCCACATTTGATCACAGGCGTTCAATAACATATGTCAGATAAAAATTGGAAAAAGAAATGTACTGACAGCACATGGTTAGTATAATACTCCTTTCATCCTCTAGTATTCAATAATGTTTGTAAGTTCAATTTGAACTAATAACCAAGGTAACAATATATAAGGAATAGCGTCATCCTAAATAAAATGAGGATCTCAAATCGAACAGTGGATAGGTTCATACCTCAAACCAGTCAATTTTATAAACACATACGGCGGCAAAGTTACGTTCAGTGCTGCAAAAATATTATACCACCTAGTACATTACGCATAACGTACTACTAAAATGTACATATAAGCAAGATATTATCTTTTTCATCCATATTAATATGTATTTATAGATATATATACGGGAAGTACTTAGCATTACCACACGTAAAACATTTTTTGGAGGCGGCCATATTTGGTTTCTATAGACTGGCAACACATTCGCCTCCAAGTCGACGTCTCTGTTAATCTATTTTTCAGAGGTGGTCATAATGACTGCCTGTGAAAATACATTAAAAAAACAAAAAAAGGCCCAGGCCTGATGCCAAGCCTGCTTCGGGAATGCTATTGCTGCTGCTGAGCCACTCGTAGACACGCCACCGTCACCAAGGCTGCTCGCGGACACGCCACACCCACCATCGTCATTTCTGGATTCACCACGACCTCGGTCGCCAGGGCTCCACCACCATGTCATGGTCCCGCCATGGACGACGAACCACCGCCATCGCTGGATCTTGTTGTGTGTGTGTGGGGGGTAGGATGAAGCCGCGACTGTCAGAGGGGAGGATGCGCTATTGCCGGATCTCGCCACAGATTTCTCTGCCACGAGGCTGCGCAACCGCCACACGAGAGGTTGTGTGCTCATATGCTGCTCCACCACCACCGCTCCCTCACGCCATGCCATCGCCGTCGCTGCTCGAGATCCATTTAGCCGTGGAAGAGAGGAGAGTGCATGGAGGAGGGCGTCTGATGACTTCCAAACCCTAAGTCGCTTTGGGCCTGGTGGAGGCATGTGGTGAGAGAGGAGTGCAGGGGAGGAGTTCCAAACCCTAAGTCTCTCTTATATATGCGACTATCATATTGGACCTAGCGGGCTTCAAGGCTGTTCTAGAGGCGGGCCTCTTAGGAGGTCCACCTCTTAAGATGGTCTTCAATTTATTTTCGGAGGCGGACCTTTGTAAATGAATTTACATAAACGTACGTTTTTGGACCGCCTCCATAAATAGAGCTACCACCTCCAAAATTATTCAGTAGCTATTTTGCGACTCTAAGGATTTATGACCACCTCCATTAATAAAATCCCTTCTCCTAAAATATTTTTTTTACTAGTATTGGTTTCTCCATCCATAGAGGAATATAAATAAAAAGGTGTATATGAGTGGTAAATAGGGTGTTTTGGAGCTAGATAGCCTACCTTTGTTCCTTTGTTTTTTTTGGTATCACTCGCAATATATATTGAGGCCATAGTATGGGACTTATTGATAGACTCCACTTTAGATGTTCCAAATATTCCACCTATGTTCTAGAAAATTGTATGATTCCTAAACCATGTCACCAATACATTAGTCCCCAACACAAATGTACGAGTCAATGCCAAGTGAGGACTGCCCAATTTCTTTTTTAAAAAAAATCAAGGATTGTCCAAGTTTGAAGACTATGAGAGGAGCATGTCTAGTGGCAAGTGGTGATAAAAATGATGTACTTATTTCAGTCAACTAGGTACTATTCATGGTTGGATATTAGATTCAGGGAGTTGCTTCCATATATGTTCGGTGTGGAAGATGCTTGACGAAGGATCTCTAAACTGGTGAACAATACTGTTTACTTAATGGATTGCAAGGAGTACGCGGCCCCTGAGGTTGGAGATGGTTTCATAGGTGATGCATAATGTAACAAATTGTGCACTAACAGGAGTTTGGTATATATATACCTGACTTGAAAAAATAATACAATTAATATTCGTGAGGTCGCTAGAACTCCAAGGTTGTATTCTGATCAGGAAAAGGAAGCCGTTTCATCAATGAGAGGTACTCAAATCTCAACAACGGTCAAGTGCAACGTTGTAAAGACGATTGCAAAATCTAACAGTCGTAGAGGTGTTCATAAAGCGCTTCTTTAGTTAAACTTCCATTCGTCCATATTTCTAGAAAAAAGTATCTCGTGTTTTTTCATTTCCATTCCCACAAGAAAAAAAAATACTATAATTCACATTTCGAACAGGCATGAATACATCATCTATAGGATAACTTCCATCTTGAGAGGTCTTTCTGAGTTCCGTATGATATATGCGATCTCTCTCGATCTGTAACTCAATACAGAAATCAACGGGCTCTCTCAAGTTAGCTATAGGTTGTGTCGTATCAACGATTTCTATGGAAGGCGGTAAGATTATATCTTGAGCGGTTATGTATCTAGGACCTTTGATGTAAATTGATGTGTCTCTAACTCCATAGAGATTACTTCTCAATACAATTTCTTTAAAATTTAGTAAAATTTCTTGTATGGATTCTTCAATACCTACTATTGTGGAATATTCATGTGAGCTGTTGGAAGAGAAGGTACCAGCAACATGGTGGGATTAACCGTGTGGTACCAGCAACCAGGTGCAGCTTGGAGGCAGTACAAACCTATGACATGAAGGACCATAGGAGGTGGTGCGGTTAACCAAATGAGACAATGAAGGAGCTTTCAAGTGGAAGAACCAAGCACTCCAACTTGGACACTGACACACATTGTGGTGATGTGCATGAGCACCTGTGGTGGGGTCACCCACAAGGTGGGAGTATAAATAAAAAAGAGAGCTGATTTGGAGCAAATTCTTGGAGGAGCACAATGAATCCAAATGATTAGAGTCAAGGTGGAGATTGTTGTAGGTAACTAAAATCTTACTTGTAATAAGACTCAAGATAGATGTGCTATTATGACTTAGTTTTATTAGGAATTGAGTGTAGAATCAGTCTTACTTGCATGTATTGGGGCCTTTTGGGGACTACTAGTGGATAGGCACGTGCAGCATGCACGTGTCTATAAAAAGTTCATTGATAAAGGAGAAAAACATTGAAAATTTGAAAAATTCGAGAAACAATAGTACATTTGAGAGAATTCGTGTAACAGGTGACAAGAATTCAGATATAGGAATAAAATGTGTATTTGCAACAAGAGTTGGCTGCTCGATTCATGTAATGGATGATAAGAATTTAGATAGAGAAATAAAGTGTGTGTTTACAACAAGAGTTGGCTGCTAAGCATCGACACCATATTTACATTCATATCAAAATCGAACCCACAACTAAAAGGGTAACATTCTTTCCACATGAGTAGTACCAAGGCTGGATGAAGTAAACGAGCTCCATTATCACCATATACTAACTCATTTTCCAACATCAAACTTCTTTCAGGAACTAAACTTGAGCTAGTGAAACAACATGATTGCTTCAGAAATAACCATAAGCTGGATCTTCAATTTCCTGCTCAGCACCAGCATTGACCCGTCCCATACATCTCGTTGAATACCAAAATCAGAAACAATCACCATGAATGCAACGAATTTGTATTGTCTAGAGTGTCCTATGCCATGGCCCACCTTTTCCACAGAGATAATTTGATTTGATAGCTGGCACTGATTTTGGATAGAGAAAACAAAGGAATTATTTAGGGATAGACCATAAGACAATGCCATTCCTACAAAGCCTGCACATGTACAAAATGGAGTGATTAGTGTTTCTGATGACAATGCCATTCCTTCAAAGCCTGCCCATGAACGATACCAAATGAATGTAGTTTTGGTAAGTAGTCATGTATTAATCTTGGTGTTTCTATTCTGAACCCTTTGGGCTCAGAGTTCAGTAGTTCTTATACAAAATCATAAGTGATTAAGAAATATCCTGCATTATTCACCAAATATCATGCCTTGCATTCTAGCAACAAATATATTTTTACTTGCGATTCAACATTATCAGGTATACATAGTAAGATCTTAACATTTCATGGCTTTACTTCAGGAAGCTATGAACACAGTAAAATTTTTCCTGCAGTACATTGAATAATTTATTGCACATCAAATGCAAGATGTGATGAACTATCAGAGAACTTCCAGGCTCTTTTTTCAGAAAAGAAACTTTACTCTATGTTTTGCATAGATGTGGTGAACTGGTGATACATGCAAATTGCAACTTCTATAAATGCTCACCAGAGCTAAAAGTTGCTGTTGGAAGAAGAGTCATAATAAAGGCAGAAAAAGAAAGAACTGCAGCACTCAGTTGTCTCCAGACGTTGAAAGTTGTTTGAAAATTATAGAAATATGAACCAGCATTCTTGTCAACAATATCCTTCACAGACCTTCATGACAATAATTGTAAAGGATTTTAGAACTGGTTAATTTTAACCATAAAAATTATATTAGAAATTTAGATTGTTCACAGGTTGTAAATATGAAGCTTTGTTACCAATTTAGCCTTTCTTTATCATGGTTAAGTTGCTAGGGAAGGGGTTAGTGCAATTTACCATTGCCAAAATAGTTGCTGCCATTAATCCTGCTCAAATGCCTTTTTTTGTTTCCTGTAAAAAAAGTCATAATAAGCAGTTATAAAAAAGCATAGTAAAAACATAATTTGTAGATGGTAAGAATGTGCCGAGAACTCGTGCTTCCCTGATAAGTAGCCCAAGAAGCATTTGCATACAAAATTGTAGCTGTGAACACACAAACTGTCGCCACACACCATGGGATGTTAAGATATAATTCTTCACTAACCTAGTGGATCATTCAAATACTTTAGTCAAATTTTAGAGTAAGTGTCCCTTAGATTACATACCACCAAATATTTCCAGAAGTCAATAAGACAATGTCATATATAGAGTGCAATCAATCACACGACCAACATGGTATATTAAACAAGAGGAACAACAATGGAAACAACCAACTATTCGCATGGCAATTTTCATTTAGAAAGTCAGACAATTGACAGAAAAGGCTCATATTAAACATAAGAAAAAAAATACATCTCTTCTTTGCTACTATTTGCAAATTGATAAAAGTAATTACATTTCATATTGAACTAATAAAACAAGCCGGTGAGCGAGCTCTGCAACAGATCCGTGAATAGAAACTGTCATAGTGCTACGTGCTACCAAACTGAAGATTGACATAGTGCAAATTCATTTTGTGTACACTCCAATCATCCATGGACATGGAAAACTGCACATACGTGGACAGGGATTAGAGTACAGAAAGAACAAACCTTCAAGCAACGGGTGTAGGAGGGCAGTTGTGTCCGCATCGACGTGCTTGGTGATTTGGATTTTGCACCCGAGCTCCACGGGGTTCTTCGCAAGATCTGCGATAAGCAACAAAGAACGATCGAGAGATCAGGAGCCAATCGCGGCGGAAAAAGAGGGAAGGGCAAGAGGCTGACCTCGCCTCACCGGAGACGTCGACACGGGAGGCCATGGTGGCGGAGCGCACTGCGCCTGTGGCCCCCGTGTCCGTGATGACCGTTGCCGCACGGATGGGGATGGAGGGGCAGCGTTGATCGAAGAGTAGAATGGCGCAGCGCGGAGGCTTGCGGCCGGTAGGAGTCGCCGGAGACCAGTGGGGCGTAGAAGATCGGGAGAGGATCAGGGACACCATATGGATTGGAAACGGATCAGGAGGGAGTTGCGCGACGGGAGGGGACGGGTGGGGTGGGGTGGGGATACGGACGGTTGAAGGGGTGACGGGCGTTGTGGGTACACGGGCGGGTATGTTTTTTAAAAACGGAGTGGGGGAAGAGATCGGTGAAAGGGGGTAGACTTGTGGACGGTGTCAACGTGAGTTTCCTTTTTCCGACCGGGTCTGCTCGATAGATCAGATTAGGAGATAAAAAGTAAGATGGCAATAAAATATATGGGTGGAAGTCTATTTCTAATCCGTTCAATCCTTTATACTATAGATAGATACGAGCCTGTTTAGTTTCCTGGCTATCCCCTAGCTAGGTTTCCTGAAGTCAACTTGGGCTGGCTGAACAAGCCTCCTAGCCAAACGGGCCATAGCCTGGCATGCTGGAAACGCAGGGGATGGGCGTTTCCATGTAGCCAAGCTTGCGCCCAGTCTCATCGCACCCACCCGGTGTTCATCTCTGTCGAAGTCGGGGGACCTCGTGCCACGCCGCTCAGCCCACGCCACCTAGGCGACTGCATAGTGGAGGGTGCTGGCCCAATGAGCAGGTCGCCGGAGATCCTTGCCCTAGTCTGCACCGCCTCGCTGTCTTCCATCGCGTCCTCGCGCCTTGATGAGCTTCACAGTGGCGTTGTCTTCGATCGCGTCGTCTTTCGTCGGGTGTGGGGAGGCGGCCGTGCTACCCTCCGTCACCATCGAGGACTAGCGGGAAGCACTCGTTTGCGCGCCGTCTCACCATCGTCTTCGAGCGCGGCATGGGAAGCTCAACGGCCGCATTCGCCATGCCGCACCCGTGGCCGGCCTCCTCGCATAAGATGCTTGGAAGCAGCCCGTCATCGGGTACCAAGGCTTCCACATCATCGCGAGCGCGGTGTCTCACGCGGCGCGGCGGTGGCACTTGAGCGACTGCTAAGAGGTGATGCTCAACATAGTGTCGAGGACCGAATACCGGGGTACCCGAAGAAGAGGAGCTAATAACCATCAAACGTTGATGCTTCCAAACAGATAAGAACGCAACTACACTTCTTGCCCGAACGACTAAAGATTGGCTCCGCCTCGCCCGACCCCTGAGGGCTGGCTCCGCCTCGCCCGACGTCTGGGGGCAAACTCCGCTTCGCCCGACGACCGAGGGCAGGCTCCGCCTTGCCCGACGTCCAGGGGCTGGGCTCCGCCTCGCCCGACGTCTAGGGACAGGCTCCGCCTCGCCCGACGTCCAGGGGCTGGGCTCCGCCTCGCCCGACATCCAAGGGTAGGCTCCGCCTCGCCCGACGTCTAAGGGCTGGGCTCCGCCTAGCCCGACGTCTATGCGCTACTCCTTCATAACTACGTGTGCAGATAAGGCGGGGCACTCAAGTCAACCGCTATACCGAGGACCATACCCTGCACGCCTGCAGGAAAGTACCGTCAGGATATGACCAGACGGGCGCTTTAAGCCCTTCTAGGCATGTCGGAGCCCAAACAGTGTTGTGGGCGCCGATATTTATCCTACAGTGTTATGGGCGCCGGCATTTGCCCTCGGACACAAATCCTGACGGCAACATACGATAACCACTACGGTCCAAGAACGAAACTCATGTCATCTGCAGTAACGAATGTGGGGCCTCTACGCCATCTACTCCCCATAGGGTTGTGGCTCGGCACCCTGGTGCGCCGCGCCGTCCGCCAAGATGAGACGGGGCGGGACCACTTGCTGAACGAAGCCAGAGTATGACCCTATTAGGATCAGCGAACGTGCTATCCCTGGCACCATCTGCCATGTCAGCGGGGCAAGCTCAAAGAAAAAGGAAGACCCCGCACCTTCGAAGGACCTTCTCTGTATCTAGTTTTTCCTCTTTCTCCCATCTGTAATCCATGCTCCCTCTTGATCTATAAAAGGAAGGGTAGGGCACCCCACTAAAGGGACGGATCAATCCTACACACCACGCACCACATAACACACAGCTGAGCAGCAACCGAGCTCTCAGCACCATTTCGACCTTTCCATTAGAGACTTGGGACCTATCCCTCTCTCGACCATTTGTACCCCCTACTACGAACCTTTTTAGTGCTAATAACATGAGCAGCAGCAACAGACTGGACGTAGGGACATTCTGCCCGAACCAGTATAAACCTTGTGTCTTTTAGCACACCATCTGGGCCTAACGCGTAACAAATACAAATTTACTAGTTGGTGCTTACTCGAAACACCGACATATAGGTTCGACAAATTGTCTCAAAGGTGGTAAACTTACCTAGACAAAGAAGAGGTGACTCTATCCAAGCCAAACCAACCAACCAAACACACTAGTTGTTAGCCAGACTTAGATAGTGTATGCAGCCAAATATGTCCATCTTGGCTTGTTAGGACCAGTCTTAGGCTAGCCTGATTTATTTCCTAGCCAAGCTAGAAGCAAGCCAGGAAGCCAAATATACCCTTTAAACAAGAGGGTGAATACCATATGCATCAATCAAGCCAACACAAGGGTCTCATCAAAGGCTTGCAAGGAGCAATTAGGAGCTCTGAAGAGGATTTGTGCAGACAATTTGCACTAGATTCATGTGTAAAGAAAAATCAGTAGGTCCTAAAGGGTCAAGTAGGTTGTGAGTGAGCAACATCACTTTTTACTCTTTTGGAGTTGTGCTTAGCAGGGTACAAGGCGAGGAGGCATGGCAGTGGCACGGGTGCAGGACTTCGTCGAACTTCTGCCGCAGTTCGACTGGGACTTATGATGCAGGACATGGCTGGTATACCAGGTGTTATACGGATTGGCGTGATTTGGTATCACCGGATAGATGATTACTTTATAGTCTTTTTAGGTATAGAGATTTTACCAAAATCCTAATCTCTTGTCGTGGTTGCGTCATATGGGGTTTTCTACTAGACTTTTCTATATCGTTCTTGGTACGACACAAGTTTGTGTTGTGCTCGTAATATCCTTTCAAAAATAAAGTTAATATGTATAAGTAGATGTATCAGACTCTAACATCATGGTCGAGTCCGGAGCCATGGACATGAGAGACCGCGAGGAGAACACCGGGGACGAGGAATAATTAATGAAGGAATGAGGAAAGGTTCCTCGGTTCTGTGTTCTCTTTTTATTTGTTCATGACCAGTCTGTTACTTGATGAGGCTTATAAGCCAAAGGCCAACACTGCCTGTGGGGTCCACTAATGATAGCTAACACCTACTCCGTATTATAGTTGGACAATGCACACAGTTGAAACATTTCACTTCCATGTCCTCTGACACCAATTGTTACCGCCCGTGCTATCAGTTGTTACCTCGCCAATGGTAATACATAGAGGGGCGTCCAGCGGGAATCGGCCACTATAGGGGGCAGGGGCATGTTTGGTTCCATTTAGTCCTTGATTAGACTTTAGTACTTGAATTAAACTTTAAAGTGGGCGAATAATATTATTCAGTGAATTGCTTCCTCCCTGTGATGGTGTATCAATAGCTGATACTGTTGCAGCATGCTTTAGCAATTGGAATGTTGAGTCAAAGGTCATGAGTATTACTTTGGATAATGCATCCTACAATGACAACTTGTCGAATTCCCTTAGGATGAGATTGCTAGCTCTTGGTAGATTATTGTGTGATGGTGCATTTTTTCGAGTTCGGTGTTGTGCACATATTCTGAATTTGATTGTTCAAGCTCAGTTGAAATTAATTGATACTGCTGTTGACAAGATTCACCAAGGAGTTCAGTATATCCATGGTTCTAGTATCCGTAGGAATAAATTTTACGCTGATGCTCAAAATATATTTCATTTAGATATTAAAAAGAAGCTATGTCTCGGTTTTTTTCCTTCTCCAGACCCCACTTACGTGGGAGCCTCCGGCACTGAGTCTGCTCTTTTTTTTATTAAAAAGAAGCTATGTCTTGACAAAGTGTGTTGGAATTCAACTTTTAGAATGCTTGAAAATGCTTTGTTCTATAAGGGAGTTCTGAAGCAATGAAGCATTATGCATCGAGGAATGCAACCTTCTTTGCTAATTTTGATCTTTCTGAACCTGAATGAAAGAAGTAACAGTCATGACTAATTTTCTGAAGTCCTTTCAAGAAGTCGCATGCACTTTATCTGGCACAAAGTACCCAAATGCCAATTTGTACTTCAAAGGTGTATTTAAGATTCACTCTCAGCTGCTTGAAGTTGCCAAAGAGCCACAGAATTTCATGTCTCCTATGGTGAAAGAGATGAAAAATTAAGTTTGATAAATATTTGTCAGACTACAGCTTGATTCTATTATGTGCAGCTGTCCTTGATCCCCGATATAAGCTTAATCTTCTTAGGTACTGCTACAAGAAGATACATGTTGCATTGATGAGTCTGCTGCTGAAGAACAAGTTAATAAAGTTGTAACCAAGCTTTATGAGTTATTTGATGAGTACAAGGTCCTGAATCCTAGCCCATCTATCACCAATCCGAGTAATAATGTTGAACAGAATCGACAAGATGACATGTTTGATGATTATGCTGATTACTTGACCACCGTTGCACCACAAAGTCAGAAATCTTCGTTGGATCTGTATCTGGAAGAACCTACAAAATGTTAGCATAAACCACGTCATGTATGTGCATGGCGTGTGTATGTCACGTTGAGTCGTCAATGGCGTGCGTGTTCGAGCTCGCGTTGGAGTCCATTGATCGGGTCGAGTCCGTCGTTTGCGCGACGTGATGACGATTGTGTATAGTCCAGGCAGTGTGCGTGCTCCACCTGGACTACGTGTGTGTCACGTACTACTGAGTCATGCATGTAGGTGAGTTCTACTTGTAGGCTATTTTTAGTTAGTGCTAGTATAGCCATTAGG